TTTTTTTTTTTTTTTATTTCAGTTTTTAATTTCAAACACCTCCATTCCTATTGATACATCACAATCAGGCACAACATATCTTCCTTGGTGACCAAGTCATCACTCGTCCAACTCTGTAAGCTTGGTGGCCACGCGAAAAATCCCCATTAAAACCCTTCATTCCTATTGATACATCACAATCATATCTCAAAATTTTTCCATTTCTTATTTTCGTTTCTTGATCCGACCTCTGTTTTCGAGCAGGAACAAGGCACATGGGGGACAAGAAGATGAAGAAGAAAGAGAAAAGATCATCCCCGAGAAAGGCGACCGCCGGCAGCCGCCGGGACGTCAAGCCGGAATCCGAACATCCGAGCCTCCCAATCACCGTCGGTAAAAAAGACTGGCGACGGCAGCAGATTATACGTGCCAACAAATCGGGATCCGGCGTGGTCACCAAGTCATGGGTTGTCCCATCTTCCTCCTGTTGCAACCTTAATCAGCCGCCGCGTAAATATTCGTGGCCTCAGCTTGCCCTAATTGACATCCCTCCCGAAATCCGAACCACCGACGTTCCCGGAAAATACAGCCTCAAGGGTTTTTTCCATCAACGCCAAGCGACATTGTATTCTAACGATAAATTTCTTATCTATGGCCCGGACTATTACAGTCTGCGCAATGACAGCAGTGTACACTTCAGACGCACTGAGAGCTCCACCGGCTCCCAATTCGCCTTCGTCATAACCGGCCTTACTTCACCGGCTTTCGCATTCCCTAAAGGATACGACGAATATTACAGGTGCTATGTGTCAAATATGAAGAACTGCACGGTTATCGAGCCTTTCTCAACAACCGATCATCAATACATGGAGTTCACAAACCTTACCGGGCACCGAGGGAAATTCTACGCCATTAGCCGGCAGGGCAGCCTCGCAGTTATCGAGTACAGTGAAGGTTCGAGCGATTACGAAATTACCCGTTTGGGAAAAAACCGAGCGGTCCCTAGTAAGGCATGCCAGCACTTTAGGGAGCATTTGTTCAAGTACAAAGGTGAAATCTTTTTGGTGTTTTTGCTGTCGATGGCTTCGGTGAATGTGGTGGATGACGTGGAGGTTTTCGGGTTGGACGAGTCGAGTCTATGTTGGAAGAAAGTCGAGAAGCTTCCGGATGATACCGTGTTTATCGTGGAGGACAAGTGTTGCTTGGGGGTCTCGGCGAGTTTATTCGGGTGCAAAATGGGGGAAAACTGCGTGTACTTCACGTACGAGAGGGCCGAAACTTGGTTTTGCTTCGACATGAAAACGAGCCGCATTTCGGCTACGGAGGGACCCGTGGACGATTTTGATTGATCAGTTATTTTCCAGCTGAATATCAGTTTCATATAATGTTTGTTTGAAAGTGGTGGGAAAAATTTCATTCTTTTACTTTTTTCTGTTGATTTCTGAAGTATATATGTGAGATGTTTAGTAGTTTCAACTGGAAATCTTTGTATATGCTTTAACAAAATTGTTTCTGTAACAATATCTTATTAGTAATAAAGCCACTAGGGGTAAGAAGAGATGAACGGTGAACTCTTGATTCTTCGTGAAAACTAGAAAGTGATTTTACATTCGATGCGTAACTTTAATATATAATATTTGCATAGAACTGTGAACTATTTGAGGAGAGCCTTTATCAAGTCTCATTGAGTTAATGAGCCAATAAACGAGCTCGAACTTGGTTTATTAACAAGCTTTAACAAGTTGAGATCGAGCCTTATTACAAAAACTGATATATTTCGTATCAGAGTATCTATGTATCTCATGAACTCCGATGATAATGTCCGGGGCATGTGACTTCGGTCTTGGATAATCTCCGGTCCAAAGGTAAGGCCTCCGACACCGGTTCGTCGAAGGTAATACGTGAAAAAAGGCGCGGGAATTTTTCCGGCACAAAATCCTCTGACGCTCAAATTAGGATTCAGAAGAGGGAAGATGATGAACAGTGATATTGTAGATTGTTGAGTATTAAATGTGTCTTACCTACCGCGGCTCATGTTCTAATATATATAGGCATTTATCTTTTGTACGGAGACCTTAGGGTTGCGGATCGTTCCGAGTTACATTTGACCGGCTCGGTCCTTCAAGTTCGTCTCATATCGGGTCGACTGGTGATCGCGCGTCGCATCGCGGCAAAATTAAAATTTATATTTCCTTAACCGACTTCTACCAACTAGTAGTAGTAGTGAGTAAGGGTCGAACCCACCGGGAGTGTGAATCCAATTGTGAATTTTCTCGTATTAATTGAATTATGAAAGCAATAAAACGAGGGGGGGTTTTGAATTTAAGAACTAAATTAACTAAGATCCTATTAAATAAAATAATATCTAAACAATGAAAATAAAAATAAATATAAAATAAATAAGAGAAATTTCTAGTTCACGGTTCCGTCTACGCCCTCGACTGACTCGTCTAATAAATTTTGGTATCAAATCTCGCTATCTTATGAAATTACTAGCCCTAGGCAACGACACGGTCTGTTACCCGAATTTTTCCTTAATTTTAATTTAACCGCGAGACGCTCTACGATTAAACCTGACTTCTTGAACAGTCTAGGAAACGCTTCCTAAATTTAATTCAATTAGCCGCTTTACGATTTAGAAAAATAGGCTAGACTAAGTAGCGAAATTTTCATTCACTTAATTAGGCCGTGTTATCCCCGGTAGTTACCATCTTCCGGTAGCCTCTAATTGATTAAACATATCAACAATTACGGATTGACAGTTTGAATCTAGCAGTAGATATGAAAAGCCTAGTCTAGGTGATCAAGCTAAACAAGACTCAACAAATCAGGATTAATAATTCAAAATAACACAAACAATTCCAAAAGACATTGAAATTATCAACCAAGAATTAATCAAACATTCGTCAAGTTTTAGGGTTCAACATCCCCGGAACTAGAATAAAATCTACTCTAACATAATAAATAAAAAGGAAAAGATAAATAAAAGAGAGAGATTAATTATCTCCCTCGTGTACGAGTGCGACCTCCCTCCGCAATTGATCGGGCTTCCTCGTATCTTCTCGCACCGTATATGTCCTGCTCCCTTTTCTTTTTGTTCGCGTTGCGGCGTAAATCTGATCCCCGCGTGTGTCTGCGTGAATAATAATGGTTGCGTGGCGGCTGTCTTCTATTTAAAATACCTCCCGATTCTTCTTCTGCTGCTTGCGTCTTTTCCTAAATAAAGATGGTTGCCTTTTTTTTATTTGTGTCCAATAAATAATTCCTCCCAAGTAAACATGTCCTGCCACAAATAATTCACCATTGCCCAATGTTGGCCCATCCAACTAGCTTCACATTTTGGGCCACGTAAATCCATTACTTAGCCCAAATTAATCTTTCAACAAATTATAACCATGGACTTAATCGGCGTGGAATTTGGTGTTCCAATAATTGACTGCGTTAACTTCCTTCCATTGCTTCACGCCCACAAAATACTTCAATATTCTGAAAATAAATCACAAAATATAAAAGCACATAAATCCATCCAATAAATAAATAATTTAAAAATATATATAAGTGCGATAAAATATAGCATATAAAGATACACTAATAAATATATAAATGACGCACTTTTTTCGACCAATCAACTGGTCCTTGAGGTTCGTCTCTTATTGATGCAGCACGTGGTAGACAAAAGGGAGAATTGTTCTTGAAGAACTCAAGAAAACCAGAAGAATATAAATCTTATTTCAATAAACTGCGTAAAAGGTTCTGATAGGAGTACAATATATAGGGAAACCCCAAGACTCCTAATTATTATTCCTATTATTTATCTTGTTAGGCAAGACAAATAATAATCCTAAATAACATGCAATAAAGATAATATAAACTAGGAAATAAATAATAAATAGATAACTAAATATGAAGCCTCTCGTATTTTTCCATATAAGCGAATGCGGCTTCATCTGCATCACTTATCGGGCCGGCTCGGTCCTTGAGGATATAATCCCTATCATTCGAGTCGTAAGGAATTCGATTGGTTGACTGTCGATTGGTAGTTCGACTTCTTCTTCGGTCCATTGATTGGTGGTTCCGTCGATTAGTTAGTTTGAAAGTGTTTTTGATGTAGCGAAAAGCTTACGAATGGGAAGATAAAACGATACTCTCTCCAGAACACGGGATACTCTCCCAAAAGAAAACACGATCAATTATTTTCATTCATCAAAGTCTCCTTCTCACCAAAACAGAAGAGCCCTTTAAATAAAGACTTCAAACTCAACCCTAGCTTAATATCCAAGCAACTAATAATAATAATAATAATAATAATAATAATAATAATAATAATAATAATAATAATAATAATAATAATAATAAATATATATATATTCTTCATCATTCTCCCCCGGTTGAACAGGATTCGGCCTCGAATCCGACTTGTTCCCGTTGGAGAAGTCACCAGGACAGGAATAATCCAGATTTTCCCCGATCGAACACGAAGCTCGAAGGTCGTCCAATCGCACCGGCGAACACAAATTCGGGCACGTATACAACGGTCGGAAAAGCAAAGGGGCCTACTTCCCGATGCAGAATCCCGAAAGCCGAACGAAGACCATAATCACTACAGCCAGAACGTCCACTAGGGGAAGACTTCGGAACAAACAATCCAACAATGTCCCGACAGCTATGGAGTCCCGAAGGCGCTTCCAGAAAACCATCCGTCGCAAAAATATGTTGGAAATTCGGTCCAAACGACGGGTGTTCGGTCAAATGGACCATTGGGAGGATGTCCCACGTGGAGCCCAAAGTGCCATCAATATGTATCTCCGGCACCGGAGGCTCCTCATCAAAAATAGGCGGACCGTCGTACATCGGCCCATCAACGTGAGCCCCATCGAAGTTAGGAATGGCAGTGCGAAACGGGCCCACCTCTTGATCAAATTTGCTGCCAAACTCACTCTGTTCCATCCCAATTTTCGCAGCTACCTCACAGGCGCAAAACACGTTGTTGGACTGCATCCCTTGAGGCCCACAATTATTAA